TTTATTAAATATTTAATTTATTAATTTAGATACACATAGGCTTAAAGCCATTTGTATAAAGTAATACAGTAATTTAGAAGTAAATTCAAATTGTTTTTACTAGTAAATATAGTAAAATTGTTCTTCCTACTCTTTCTACCAACAGTATCCAGGAACCATTATAAACAGCCCAAACTGGCAAGAGTAAGGTCCCAAAATGGTACCTTGATGTTCAAAACAAACTGATATGTTCACAGTAATAGGAACAGTAATAGGAAGACACGGGTAACGCCCTCCTTTTCTGACGGGAACTGAGGGCATGCGGCAGTGCCAGCCGCCGGGCAGTGCCACGTGTCCAGGTAACAGCACAGGGTGGCTCCCAGCTCTCGGTGCTTCAGAATTACCTCCTTTCTGCCTCATCGCAAACCGGGAGGTAGGCACAGTCATTCCTCCTGTTTTAGAGATGAGGAAACCGAGGCTTTCAGACTCAGAACCTGCCTGGACTGTGAGTCGGGCGAGGAGCTTGGATATGTCTAACTCTGGAACCCAAGCTCATAACGCTCCCCTCTCTTCCTCCTAAGCACACAGATCATGCAGAGTAATCGGTGGTGATTATTATCTTCTTATTTCCCCCAAGGGCAGCTGGATAGGATTTGAACTCCATATAGGGATCCTCAGCCAAGATGCCTACAGCACAGGATGGGGCTGGCTGCCGCCTTCTCCCCAGTCCCATCCCTGGTCCCATCCCTGGTCGGCCTCCAGGCAGCCATTCCCTTGACAGAGACAGAGGTTCCTCCCCAGCCCTGCCTGCTCGTGTTCTCCTCCCTGACTAGCCCTTCCTTCCGCCGCCCTCTCTCTGGGCCCCACTGTGTCTTCCTACTCATCGCCACTCGTCTCTTTCCTCCTCTGCTGAAGAGATAAGAGCAAGCGATTGTCTTTTATAGTCGCTGTAATGAAGCCTGTCAGCACACAAAGAAGTTCGCTAATAAAATAAATCAAAGCAACGATGGGAATGAATGGGGAGTGAGCTTTTACCCGGAGATTTATACTCATCTTGGGGCATGCATGGTGCTTCCAGTGCGAGGACTGTTCCTCTGGCTCCTCCGTGGAGACCCCTCTGGGGAAGTCCGGCTCCCGGAGCAGGCAGGGCTGGGGTGGGGGCTGGGGGAGGGCTGGGCGGGGAGGGAGGCAAGAGAGCTGACAGCAGAGAGGGGCTGCACAAATGTCATCGCAGTGGCCTGCAAATACAAACAGGATGGGGTCCCGTCAAACTTTCTGGCTGTGGCCGGCACTGCGACTCCCCTGTCTCTGCCACCAGCTGGCCTCTTGTGCCGGTGTCCCCGAGGGCTGGGGAGAACACACTGGCGTGCCGGGCCCCCAATGGTGCCCGTGACTGTGCCCCCACCCCACCCCATCATCCTCCTGGTCTCCAACTCAGAAAAAACTACCTCTTCTCTCTCAGCCTCAGTTTCCCCATTTAGAAATTGGACCACAGGACGAAAGGTATGATGGCGTTGGGCCAAAGGGCAGACTCCAGCCGAGGAGAGGGTGGCTCCCAGGTGAGGGCCCGGTGTGAGGTCATGAGCTGGCATTGGGGCCGCAGAGTGGCGTGTGCTCCTCATCCCCCAGTCGTAGTGTCTGTGAGTCCTGAGTGGCTGCTGCCCCAGCCGTGAAGGAAGTGGGGGAATCCTAAAGGCACCCAGGGAGGTGGCCAGCCCTGACCAGCTCTCCAGCCCAGGGCGAGTGGGGATGCTATTCTTTGCCTCCAGCTTTTATCGTGTCCTTAGGAGGAGAGCCCCCTCCAGTCTGGGGGTCCTCCCTTGGACCCAGTGAGCACCAGGTGCTGATGCTTTGGCAGGTGCGCTCCGGGTGGCAGAGCGGGGTCTGCAGGGCTGGGTGTGCCTTGCACAGCCCTTCTCACTGCTCAGCTGCTCACAGGACTCACGGGAGTGGCAGCATCTTTGCCAACCAGGTGTGTCTGTCTCTTAAAGGCGGCTCCCACCCTGAGCAGCCTCCGTGGCTCGTATCCAGGGCAGGGAAGCCATGAGGTAAACCCATCCTCCGAAGCCGGGATTCCTCTGGGCTCCGGACATTCCTCTCAGCAGCAGATCAAGGTCACCCCGGTCCCTCGGGAGCCTTCAGGCTGGTGGCCAGCGCGGTCAGGGCCAAAGAAACCCGAGGTCGTAGCAAAGGACGGGATTTGGAAATTGATCATCTCCGCATTAGGGAAGACTCCTTGCCAGGCCGAGCAGGGACACAGCCTCGTTAGCTAATGCGAGTTTAATATGGAGCGGAGAGAGCTGGATGCCAGCCTAGCCAACCGCCCCAGAGATGTTCAAAAATAGAACAAAGGAAGGGGTCCCCCACCTGCTCTGCACACGCTGCCCCCCCCCAAAACGCAGGGGCCGCCGGGCAGCGTCCTCCGGACAGAAACATCTCTTGGGCATCCATCACTTGGTGTAGAGGAAGAGTTATTGTTACGGGACCCTGGCGCCTGATCAATATCTCCTGCTTTGAAAATAAACTTCTTGGCTTGGCCTTGACATTAATCTACCATCAGGAGCCCATTATCTCAAGACCAATGTTCTGTTCTATTGACTTGCTCGATTTTTTTTTTTTTATCTCTCCCCCCAAGATCAGAATAGAATTGCATTTCTCCAGGCAGCACGCCCACTGATGGCGGCCCCATGCACGCATATCCCCGTGTGGGAAGCCCAGGACGGGGCATATCTGGGTGGATAGAGCGAGTGGCTGGCGGGGGAGGGAGGGTCCAAGGGGACTGAGAACCCTCAGGTGCATGAGGTAGAAGGAAGAATGAATGGCCCTTCCAGAATTAAGACATTAAACAAACCCCCAGTGTCCCATTGAGCAGCTCAAGCTGAAAATGGCTCTTTGGCAGATAGATGGTGTAGGTGTGTCCACTCCTGCTCCTCATTCCACAAGTGAGGACATATAGTGGCAAGATTAACAATGTCCCCAACCCATCTGTGTCCCACCATCGCCACAGCCTCCAAACCATGACCGAAACTGAGAGCCACAAACCAAAGCCTTGACGGCCTCATCCCTGCAAGACTCCCCCAGGCCTTCCCTCCCCAAGCCTGCACCCTCGCAGCCGTTCTGTTTGTGAAATAGGAATTGGGTTGTGTTGTCTCCCTCACTGACAACTCTCAGCGCAGACCCCCCTGTTCTGCCCTTTAAGACCCTTCTGCTTGTCCCCACGCGAGTCTTTGACCTTCCCTCCCATCACTTCTTCCTCTGCTCCAGGCCTCTGGCTTGCTTTGATCAGTGATTGTGCCAAACCTGGCCCTACCCCAGGGCCTTTGCACTTGTCTCCTCACCACCTCAAGTCTTCATGTTACTTTACCTTCTTGTCGTTTAAGTCTTGCCTCAACTATCCCTGCTGGTTAAGGCTTTCCTTGACAAGTGGAGGTGACAGAGCAGCCCACACATCCACTCCATGAGTCTATCCAGTGACCTCATTTTGGCTTCCTTATAGCACATATAACTTCCTGAAACAGTCTCCCTGTGTAAGTTACCTACTTCCCCAGGGAGAAAAGTACCCCAAAACACAGCATCTTACAGTAGATATTACTGAAAGTTTCTGTGGGCCAGGGACTTGGGAGTGGCTTAGCAGGACAGTTCTGCCTGGGGCTGTCTTGAAGTTGGAGTCAGAGTGTCAGCCAGGGCTGCCGTCATCTGAAGGTTTGACGGGGGATCGGCTTCTAAGACCACTCATTCGCTGACTGGCAAGTTCGCACTATTCGCAGAAGGCCTCGACTCCTCAGCCCTGGGCCTCACCATAGTGCTGCTTGAGTGCCCCAAAGCCAGTGACCCCAGGGAGTAAGGTGGCAGCCTTATCATTTCTGCAGGGCTCTATTGGTTACACAGCTCAGTCCTCGTGAGCATTCTGGGGAAGAACTAACATGGGGTATCAACACCAGGAGGTGAGAGGGTCATTGGGAGGGCCGTCTAATAGGCTGTACCACACTCCCCCGCTGAGAGCAGGAGCCCTGGCTGACTTATTCACCACTGTATGTGCCCAGTGTTTGGCACGTAGCAGATACTCCATAAATATTAGCCAAACATATGAATGAATCACGTAACATTGCTGTGCCTGTGTGCAGGTCTGTGCTAAGCACTGTCTCATCCCCCGGGCCCACCCCATCTCATCCTTTGTAGATGAGGAAACTGAGCCTCAGAGGAGTTAGTACCTCGATCAAAGTCGCAAAGCTGATAAGTGGCTGAGGCAGGATTTGAACCCAGGACTGCTGAGGAGGGTCTGGTTAGTGGTGTGAGTCAGCATTGATTGTACTTAAACATTCTCAAATTGTAGCCAAATCCAGGAGCTCCTTGTGATGCCAGGTATGGAGGGAGAAACATCCGGTCCCTCCCTGCAGCAATCCCAGCGGCATGGCGTAGCCGGCCACACTGCAGAGAGGTGAGGGCAGGCTCCTGCTGCCCCAGCTCAGGGTGACCCAGCCAAGAGGCAGCCATCCAGAAGGAGCCTCCAGAATCCAAAGCCACAGCCCATGGCTGCCCTGTCCCCTTGTGTTCCTGCCCTAGGCCTCACTGAGCGGTCACCTCGTCCTTCCCTCTGAGCCCCCATGCCAGGCCTTGGGATTGCTCACGAGGGCATACAGGATGGCATATAGCATCCACGCTGTTTAGAGCTCAGATTCCAGTGTTGACAAAGCTGCATGTGAATTCTGGCGCCACCTCTTGCTCGCCCTGTGGCCTTAGACACACCTCTAGCTTCTCTGAGCCTCGATTGTCCTCATCTGTAAAATGGGGCTCTGTTCCCCCTGTGTCCCAGGTGTCCCGGTGAGACTGCAGTGCAGCTGTGCACATGAAGCTCGTGGCAGTGGAGGCACTCGGTGCGGCCAGCTATGGGTGCTGCTGCTGTCATGCCAATTCCCTCCATCCCTGGTTCGGTCAACGGGCCTTTCGTTGGCAATCCAAGCTGATGCTTTCGATGAATGGGAGGCAGGAATGTCATCTTCTCTCTCCCTTTCGCCCTGCAGGTGTGGATGTGTGGGGGCCGCATGGAGGACATCCCCTGCTCCAGGGTGGGCCACATCTACCGGAAGTATGTGCCCTACAAAGTCCCCGCCGGAGTCAGCCTGGCCCGGGTAAGCTGGCGGCTTCGCTGGAGGTGGGGGAGGGCCCATTAGCAGAGCAGAGACCCTCTGAGGCCCCGGTGGCCCCAGGCCAAGATAATCCCTAGGTGTGCCCTCCCCCCACCACTCTCCAGGAGAAACCCAGTGTAAAAGGACTTAAAGCCCTGTTTACCCACTTAGTACCTACCTGTGTGCCTTTCGGAGGGTCACTTGACTCCTCTAAGCCCGTTTCTGCTTTTGTGTGAAGGAAGCTCATTTTCCCCAGCTCTTGGCATCGCCAGGAGAATTAAGGCGATGGCACCATTTCCCCACCTGTGACGGACAAGGGGATTTGAGGTGGCAGACACAGGAACAGTTTATTGACGTGTGTTCAGATTAATGTGGATGAGAAATTAGCATGTATTCGTGTAGCAAACACGTGATTTCGCAGACATCATGACTTAGGGTAAAGCTAAAGCGGGTGCAACGTTAAAGAAGCACGTTAGGTAACTATTGCCGCTGGCTGAGTGGTGTGTCTGGGAACGCTGGAGGCCCGGTACTTAAAACTTCCTGGCACAGGAGCCATTAATAAATGTCGAGGTCCGTCTCTTCTCCCTACCCCCGGCCACTTTTATTGCCAAAAGTCCTGACAAACTATTTCATGCCTTCAAATGGGCTGTATTAATCATTGCTGGAACTTCATTGGCCACTGGCTACCGATGTAAATCTGTTGGCCAGAGATTTGGGGGTTTTCGGGGGCAGGGGTAAGAGTGATAAACAGTTCACTAAACTTTAATAATGCATTTTAAAATATTAAGTGTCTCTTGAAAAAAATAATCAAGGTGACCACAAGAGAAAACAGAAGAGAAAGGGATATTTCCCCTGAGGTAAAAAGGGTCACAGGAAGATCTGGGGAAGCTTGAAAGGTCACCGGCACAGCTTTGCCCGGGGAAAGCCACCCCGCTCCTCCACCAGACAGCGCCCCCTTGTGAGCCTGTTTGGCATGAGCCTCCTCTGCCCAGGCCTCCCCCTTCCTCATCACCAGACAGTGGAGGATTTGCAGGATTGTAGCCCCTGGGTCGGGGGAGAGCCTCTGACCTGCAACTTACAAGAAGACAGAGATTCCAAGTGCAAGAATCCCACCCATTCCCCCTTCCCCCTCCCCTCTGTCCTACCTTCACCCCCCACACTCCCCAATCCCAGGCCCTTGGCTCTCTCTGAGACCGCTGGCTGGGGCCTGTGAGGATGGCGTTGAGGGAAAAGAGAGCCGGCAGTGCTCTCTAGTGGTCGAAGACTGCAACAACAGCCGCACCAGCCATCCGCAGGGATGGGTTCTAGGTTCAGCAGAAGAGGCAGGAATCACAGTTCATCTGAAACACCACTTGCAATCTCAGAGCAGGTGTCAGGCACAAAAGCGGCGCAGTCGCTCAGCAAGCCAAGACCGACTCTCCCAGCTCTCTCTTAGGGACAGCGGGACCATGGACCCCTCTGACCCCCGTTCCCAAAGCATCCTCTCCCTCTGCACAGCGATCATCTGTGCGATCCGCGGGGTGGAGAGCCACCACCGCCTCCTGTTTATGGAACTCTAGGAGGATTCAGTGGTAACTGCTAACCGTAGTAACAAAGACTTCCAGCTCGCAGAGCATCCTACGTATCTATCCAACTTCATCCTCATTTGTTCTTAACCCCCATTTTAGACAGGAGGAAATGGAACATAGAGACGTTAAGTTCCAAGAGCCAGAATTCAGTCCCACCGGAGGTCTGATCAGGCCTGAGACAGCATCTGTCCCTTAAACAGTGACTGCTAATGTTAGTACCAGTTTTCATGTCAGCGTCAACATTGGCAAGACGGGAAGTTTATTTCAATGTTATCTGAATTCTGTGTTTATATATTTCCATTTATTTTTGTCTGCACCGAATCCGTTTCCTGTGCCTTTCCACCAGCGAACAGTCTGAGTGGCGCCCCGTGTAAGGTGGCGGGACCACAGAGCTGCCTACGCAAGCTCCCCTGATGTCCGATCTAGAGACTGATACCCTCATTTAGCTGCAGATCAGATATTAAATGTTTGCTCCACGTTGTAACAACCAGTTCCTTCTAGAGCATTATCTCTGGGAACATCACTTTGATGGGTTTGAGGAGAGATATCCCCGAAGCCCTGAAAGGGACCGATAAAGTGGGGGCAGCCGAGGTCTTACTGAAGTTGTGCCGACTCCGGGACCGGTAGCCAGACAGCAGAGAAGACGCTGAGCGGGGAGGAGGGGCTTGCCTCCAGCCCGCCTGCCTCCAGAGCAAGCAGCCACTGGGTTCGCTAAACCTGCTCCACGCCTTCTCTCCGCCTCCGGGAAAGGGGTCTTAGGGCAGGCACCCCCTCAAACTTGGCACAACCAAACTGGAGACTCACTCTGAGGGCTGAGCAAATCTCTGTGATCCCAGCACAGGGAGAGCAGGACTGGGCCCCAGAACGAGGAAGGTGTTAGGAGGAGGGATAAGAGGGCCGCGCAGCCCACTCAAACCCCTGGGTCCTTTCCAGGATTTTCCCAAGTGGAGATGAGGGAATAAATGGAAGTCCTTTCCTTCAGTCCAGACACTCAACTGCACGAAAGTTCAAGATCTGGGAGAAAAGGCTTATTAAGCTGTGTCTGGAAAATGCAATATTCTTTAAAATAGTGATTTTTTTTTCTTCCCTTTTTTTATTGAATTTGTTGGGGGTAACCTTGATTCACAAAACCATACAAGTTTCAAATGTATAGCTCAGCAAAACATCATGTGCACACTGCATCATGTGCCCTCACCCAAAGCACAATCTCCTTCTGTCCCCCCTACCCCTGTCCACCTCCACCCCCCTTTCCCTCTAGGGGAAAAAAAAAAAAAAGGTAAATTATATATCAACTAGCCGAAACCGATTTGGCTCAATGGATAGAGCATCGGCCTGCAGACTCAAGGATCCCAAGTTCGATTCCAGTCAAGGGCATGTACCTTGGTTGTGGGCACATACCCAGAAGCGGGTATGCAAGAGGCAGCTGATTGATGTTTATAACTCTCTGTCCCTCTTTCTTCCTCTCTGTAAAAAAATTAATAAAATATATATTTTTTAAAAAAATGTTTAATAAAAATAAATATCAACTAAAATGAAAATATATGTGATTTGGTCCTGTAAGAAGAAGGCTGGAGAATGTCAGCACCCTGCCTTGGTCAGAAGGGCCACGCTTGCCTGCGGCTGGAGTGAGTTAGATCGTGAGCCAAGGGAGGGGGCCGTGGGCAGCCTGGGGAAGGGAGAGGTCAGGCCGTCAGGCCTTCAGCTTCCTCCGGGCACAGTCTTAAATTACACCCAGCCTTTGCCACGCCGGGGCCTGCTGGGGATAGCGCTGCCCCTGACCTCTGTCCTAACCTCTTCAGCACTCAGGAAGGAGGCGGTGGCAAGGAAGTTCCTTCGCTTCCCAGTCCCACACTCAGAGGCAGCACAGTTGAGGAGTTGGTGAGTCTTGTCTTTGGTACCAGAGCCTCCTCCTACTGGCTTCCTTCCTCCTCACTCGGGAGTCACCGAACTGTTTCCGTGTGGCCCGTGAGCCTAGAATGGTTTTTACATTTTTAAATAGTTGAAGGGAGGTGGGGGGGATACAGGGGGTCAAAAGATTATTTTGTGACACATGAAAATGAAATGTCAGTGTCCATAAAGTTTTATTGGCACACAGCCACACGCATTCGTTTACACAGTGTCTAGGGCCGCTTTATAGCTACATCATCCGAGTTGAGGTCATATGGCTTGCAAAGCCTAAAGTATTTATGATCTGGCCCCGTACAGAAAACATCTGCTTCTAGAGCCGTCATTTTCCCTGAGGCGTGAAAGACTGATAACAGCCTGGGTGCTGACTCGCTTGCACCCTTCAGAAGAACATTTGGAAAACCGCAGTCGGAAAAAATGTTTTTATGATGGAGATAAAGCCTGGAGACTTAAACGTGTGTGTGAAAGGGGAGAGGAGATTTCTGGCAACGGCCAGGGGTTCGAGGGCAGGCGATGGTGGAGCAGGAACTCCCCCCTCCCCCTCAACCCTGGCGCTGTGCTCTTCCAGAGCAGCTGGCAGATGCTCAGCAGGTGGCGTCTGCCCTGCAGATGGGACAGGCACGTTGGTCACTGCTCTGCCTCCAGGTCTGCTCAGCTTGCCAGGAATGTGGTGGTCTTTTTTTTTATTTTATTTTTTATTTTATTTTTTTATGGATAATCCTTGTGCTTCATAATAAAAATAGCAGAACTGTCCCACCTCAAAATAAGCTGTTTAAAATTCCAGCTGCTGAAGGGATTCTACCTTTTGGTTGCAAATTATAATTTGTTTTTACCGTGCAACTCGGTCAGCACTTTTAATTGAAATGACAGTAACCCAACTCAGACTGGCTGAGGCAGAAAGGGAATTGGCTGTCGGTGTAAAAGGAGAGTTCTAAAGTGGCTGGGGCTTTGGGCGTGGCTGCATCCGGGTCCTCCCTCCAGCCCTCAGCTCCTCTTCATCCTGGGTTGACTTCAGCCTCGGACGGGCTTTAGCCCAGCTGCTCTGGCTGGCATCTTACCCCTCAGAGCAATCCAAGCAGAAATACGGTGATCCCTTGCCATAGTTCCAGCAGAAATTCCAGGGCTAGCAGATGTTGTTGGTTCTGATTAGCTTGGCTCAGATCACAGGTTCCCTGCTGACCAGTCCCCGTGTCCAGGGCTGTCTGTATTCCCATTAGCCTGGCTGAGTCCTGTGCCACGTGAGATACCAATGAAGCGGAGGTGGGTCCCCAAAGAAAAACCGGGGGGAGGCCATCCCTAGAACAGGAGGGGATGGGAACGGGCCTGGAATACAACAGCCTGTTACCCAACCATAAGTTGTAGCGTCCTTAAAGCTCACATAGATGATAGACATAGGTGGTTTACAGACATGGTGGGGCTGAGGTCATTGGTGCAACAATGTGAAATAAGAAAGACTGGCCCAGCTGGCATGGCTCAGTGGTTGAGTGTTGACCTATGAACCAGGGGGTCAGGGTTCGGGTCCCAGTCCGGGCACATGCCCAGGTTGCTGGCTGTAGGGGGCGTGCAGGAGGCAGCTGATCAGTGATTCTCTCTCATCATTGATGTTTCTCTCTCTCAGCCTCTCCTTTCCTCTTTGAAATCAATGAAAAATATTTTTTAAGAAAAAGAAAGAGAGAGAGAGTGGCCTCAACCTCCAGAATCTTTGCACCCCACGCCCAGCCCTCCGCCTTTCAGGGTGCCTGACCTTTGCCCCTGCTGCCGCCCCTGCAGAACCTGAAGCGCGTGGCGGAAGTGTGGATGGACGAGTACGCCGAGCACATCTACCAGCGCCGGCCCGAGTACCGCCACCTCTCCGCCGGGGACGTCGCCGCCCAGAAGAAGCTCCGCAGCTCCCTCAACTGCAAGAGTTTCAAGTGGTTTATGACGCAGATCGCCTGGGACCTGCCCAAGTTCTACCCGCCCGTGGAGCCGCCGGCCGCAGCCTGGGGCGAGGTGAGCCGGAGGGCAGGGCCAGCTCCCGGCTGGCCCAGTGCACAGACCATTGCCCCGAGCACACACGGGCCCCTGTTCACAGGGCAGGGAGACGTGCCAGAAAGGTATCCGTGGTGAAACTTCCTCCTCCTTCCCCACCTTTCTCTAGCTTTGTTTTATTTCTTTTTTTTTTTTAATATATTTTTATTGATTTTGTACAGAGAGGAAGGGAGAAAGATAGAGAGTTAGAAACATCGATGAGAGAGTCATCGATCAGCTGCCTCTTGCACACCCCCCACCGGGGATATGCCCGCAACCAAGGTACAGGCCCTTGACCGGAATCGAACCCGGGACTCTTCAGTCCCCAAGCCGATGCTCTATCCATTGAGCCAAACCGGTCCGGCTGTTTTGTTTCTTGTTGTTTTTTTGGTTTTGGGTTTGTTTTGGTTTTTTTGTTTGTTTGTTTGTTTGTTTGTTTTGTTGGTGTGTGTATCTTTCTGTTTAATGACCCAAGTAGCGGAAAATCAAAACTTTAAGTGATTAACATAAATATTACCATTTACCGTTATATTGTGCACTACCAGTTTTAAATGCACATCATAAGGCATTTAACGCGTGGTAGGACCGATGACATTTCAAACCTTGTGTACACATGTGTATTTCTTACCAAAACAGTGGAAACACTGTTCGGAATGGACAGGCGGATAGGTGAACGCTGTCCCCCTTGGGCTTGCCGGTGGGTGAGGAAGAGCTGCAGGAAAAGGAGCTCCGGGTGACCCACTTCCCTCTCCTCCGAGATGTGACCCGCTACTTAAGCGCCTGGCTGGCCCCGGGAAATAAGGCGGTGGGAACGGACTGTGTTACCAGAGCTCCTGCTCCTTCCAGGATCTGATGATACCAGTCAGCGGAGCCAGTCCTGGCTGGAAAGGAAAGCTGCCCACTTAGCCTTAGATGACGGCACACACTCCCCTTCAGTCTTGCTGAAACATGCCCCATCCCCCCACCCGCCCCCCCACTCCCGGCATGTGGGATCCCGCAATTCTGGGCACCGCAGCCGCCGCGAAGACAGGTGTGGAGAAAAGAGCAGGGATGCTCCTGCAGCACGTGTCACCTCTGCTCACAGTTCGGCTCCGCTGTTCCATCAGATGTCACTCACACGTTCAGAGATAAATGATTAAACATGTTAAGACGGAGTCAGCAGCGCTGTGATCCAGCACAGGCCCTCCTGAGTGAGGGGCTCCGGGCCACGACTCCTGTCACAGGCCCTGAAGCCCGTCTTGCTGGGGAGGCGGGCAGTCTTCCCCGGGGCAGGGCTCAGTCGCCGGCTCCTGGCTCCTGGGCCTCCGAGCTCAGAGGACCCTCTCACTTGTACATGGATGTGGTGGAGCTTGGGGAGAGGGTTCAAATTCTCTGAGGGTGAGCCAGGGAGCCTTCCTTTGCCTCCCCTCCAGCCCCCGCCCCCCGGAACTGTGCTCTAAGACAGCAGGGTGTAGCAGGGGTCCTCAAACTTTTTAAAGTGGGGGCCAGATCACGGTCCCTCAGAGAGCTGGAGGGCCGGACTATATGAACTACTAATTCCTACTGTAACACCTCGGCTGCGCTCACTGCCCAAAAAACCTGGCGGGCCAGATCAGACTCCTCTGCGGGCCGCATGTGGCCCGCGGGCCATAGTTTGAAGACGCCTGGTAGAGGATGCCCTCTGTGGGCTGAGCATCCTTTCCTGAGGGGCTCCAGGCACTGCCCCAACCCGGGCTCCGTTAGGACAGCTCGGAGCCCAGCCCTTCTGAGTCTCTGCTTCGGTTCCTCCCTCCACCCCGTAGGGGCCCCCCGGGGAATCCCACAGCGCCTCACTAGTCCACCTCTCCCTCTTTCTGTCCAGATTCGCAGTGTGGGCACCGGGCTGTGTGTGGACACGAAGCACGGGGCTGCGGGCTCCCCGCTGAGGCTGGAGAGCTGCGTCCGGGGCCGCGGTGAGGCCGCCTGGAACAACATGCAGGTGGGTCCCCTCCCGGGGACTGGCGCTGGTTTCTCTGTGCCCAGGTGTGGGGACTGGGAGGGACCGGCCCTGGTCAGTGCCGAGTGACAGTCAGCCAGGGAGCGAGTCAGAAAGGCTCCCTGAACACCTTGGAAAGAGGAATCCTTCACCCTGCGGTCAAACCCTCAGTGTGCACTGCTGGTCACCAGACCCGGCAGCAGCACGGGTGGGTGGCCTTCCCAAAAAGGGAGTCATGGGCGCATGTCACTGAAAAGTCTGGGTGATGTCATCGGGGTCTCTCCCTGTCTCTCCGCTGCTTCTCTCTCTGTCGGCTTCCTTCAGAGCCTGCCCCTCCCCACGGGGCAGCAGAGGCCAAGCCCCCCAGTGGGAGGCAGGTCCCTCCCGGGAGTTCTCACGTGCTGGCTTTCCTGAGCCCAGCACGGTGGGAACGGTGGGAACGTGATCAGGCCCAGGTCACACCCACAGCCTGGGGTGTGGTCAGCCGCACCGAAGAAGGGGAGAGGTAGGATGGGTTCCCCAGGGCCATTCCCAGGAGGTGAGCTCAGGAGAACGGGAGTGCGGGCCAGCCTCAGCCTTGCTGGGAGAGCCGCTCACCCTCAGGAGGCTGCATTCGGCTTTCAGAGGTCCCGTCGTCTGAGCAGTGTCCCTGATGCTGATTCACACGGCCTCCTCCTAACCTGGGCTCCAGGCCCCTCCCCGTGGGTTTGCTGGGACTTTGGAAGCGACACTGATAAAGCCTCTGAGGCGGGTCTGTGCAGACACAGACGTCAGCAGGTGCGCTGTGTTCTCACCGAGGAAGGACAGCGCCTGCCGCCTCTCACCCTGCCCAGGCTGGCCTGCCCACCTCTGCCCTCCCTCTGAGCGGCTTCCGCTTCCCCGGGTCCTTTCTCGATGACAGTTCTCATTAAACAGAGGTTCTTCTTGACGAATTCTTCTGGATTCTGCAAGGCCATTGTTATGCCCAGATTTCAAGATCCCTAAAGACCACCAGTGAGCCGAGTCCGGTGCAAAAACAAAGAGCCTTTTATTCAAGCTCGAGCCTGGTCTCTCGCAGCGGCAAGATGCAGAGAGCCCTAGTTCTAAGAGTACAGCTTTTTTATAGGGCTGAGGGTTGGGTGGAGGGTGAAGCTCAGACCACTGAGTTGGCTGGTTTCGATTGGTGGGATGAGGGCCAGGGTCCAGTTATCCCGGGTTACTTCCCTCTGCATTTCTATTGGCTGATTTAAGAGTGGGTTAGGCAACTAGAACTATTTTGTAAAAAAAAACAAAAAAAAACTGCAGTTTAAAAATGTTTGCTTTCTAGCCTGTTTGAAGATAAACTCAGCTATATGACCTTGTAGGCCGGAGACTAGATATGCCCATAATCTCAATGCCATGCCAGGTGCATTTTTCCCTTGAATAGAGGTGTGTTTTCTTTCAAGGCCAGCATCAAGATCATTACTAAGTGCACCTAGGGCTGGCTCTTCAACAAAAAGGGAAGTTCTGCTTGTAGCCTTGCTCTGCCCTTTCACCATGATGTTGGATTTGCTCTAAAACAAGGGGGGGGGGGCGCGAGCGGTAAAGTCGTAACAAGATCCACCACAAGGTGGTGGGAACGGCTGTAGTCAACATTCCCTTTTTCTGGACCTCTGTATCTAAATTTCACATAATTAAAAAAATAAGTAAAGTGCCCTGGCTCGGCCTCGTTGTCACGATGTCCATGTGACAGGTGTTCACCTTCACCTGGCGGGAGGACATCCGGCCCGGGGACCCCCAGCACACCAAGAAGTTCTGCTTCGACGCCGTCTCCCACACCAGCCCGGCCACCCTCTACGACTGCCACGGCATGAAGGGCAACCAGCTGTGGAGATACCGGAAGGTAAGGCAGGCGAAGGTAGGGGCGGGCGGAGGAGGGCGACGGGCCGCCTGCTTCAGACGGGAAGCAGCGTGGGGCCTGCCTCCCGCCAACAGAGCCTGCTCACGCACGCACGTGGCCACAAGCCTATCTGCCTGATTTCCAGACATTCGAGAGAGGCCCGAAATCCAGAGTTTTCCGTGAAACCTCTGGAATCTGAACTGTTGGTAACTGCGTCCATTAAACATGCACACAGGGAGGACCAATGCAGACTGTCTAGAGATGGTCAGGGCCCAGGCCCGGACGTGGCTTACTTCACGTATGCCCACATCCCGGTGGGCACGACTCAGGCGCACGAGGGAGGCAGACAGTGTCTCACTGTGCGCTCAGCAGGAAAGCCACACAGGTCCGAGCGGCTGGCCGGCCACCGCCTCGCTGCCCTGCCCGTAGTTCCTGCCGCTGCTGTTGGCGCTGCCTCGCTGATTACATACCTCCGTGTTTTGCAGGACAAGAGCCTGTACCACCCCGTCAGTGGCAGTTGCATGGATTGCAGCGAAAGCGACCACAGGATCTTCATGAACATCTGCAACCCCTCCTCTCCCACCCAGCAGTGGCTGTTTGAACACACTAACTCATCCGTCCTGGAAAAGTTCAACAGCAACTGAGCCCACGTGTCTGCCGCAGGCCTGGCGGGGTCCCCCCTGCCGCTCAGCTCACTGCGCCTTCCTCTTCCCGGAGAGGCAGGGCGTCCATGGGCACCGCGATGCCAAGGTGCTGGCCAGGCGGCTGCTGGTGCTGAGGCCCCACGCTGTGGAGGGGTGTGGACAGCAGAGCCCACGAGCGGCCCCACGAGCGGCAGAACCTGCTTTAACCCCTGATGGCACCGTGGAAGTCCAGGCCGGCCTCCAGTCGCCGTGTTCCCTTGAGCATTTTGCGGGGAAACGCCAGGGCAGCCCTAGGCCACTCAGAACGCGGCTCACGTATGCAGTCCTTCAGAAAGAGGCAGTTTTGCCTGTTCAAGGCAGCCGTGAGCACATGACCCCCATTTGCAGCAGCAGAGAAGGGGCTGCTGGTGTCAATCTTGTGGTGTTGGCCAGCCGTGGGGGTAAGTGCAGTTATCTTCGTTCTCTGTCCCAGCCCCAGGCCGCACAGCGGGCCCTCAGAGTGTTCCGTCCTGAGCACCCACAGCTGCCAGGCCCCGGCTCACAAGCTGGGCCCTCGGACATGCCTTCCGTTGCAGTGTGGACATACGAGGTGCCTCTCCTTGCTCTCTAGGAGCTGGAGATGCCCATTGTGTGCCCTCCAGGCACAAGGACAGCCCAGCCATCAGCTTTTTTAGGCTGTTTCCGATGGCCTTGGGCCCATGGAAAAGGCCTAGTAAGATCCCAAACCAGAAATTCTGGCTGAATTTCCCTGTTCACTACTTCCACTTCTCTTCTTTCCATCCCTCCTCTCTCTCTCTCTCTCTCTCTGGCAATTCCTTGTCTCGGGAGAGGCACAGAGGTGTGGAGTGCTCACCTCCCAAGTCCAGAGGCCTCCCGGGTAGACCATGGAGGATGCCTGGTCTCTGACCTCATTATGGTTCTAGTTCTCACGCCGAACTCTACAATTTGTAAAGAGCTCTAATTTGATCACAGGCTAGAATGCTACCCAGGATTCTGGGATTCTGGCATCCAGTATGACTTCCTAGAATGTTGTGATTAGAGGAGGCAGCCAGGGGTAATACAGCCACGGCAGCCCTCAGCCGAGAGACAATCTGAGAAGTCCCACTCCGGGGGGGGGCTGTGTCCATCCACTCCCGCCAGAGGCCTTGTTGTGACATGGTCCTCAGCCAGACCGGAAGCCCTGCAGCCTCCCACCCCTGTGTCCCGGAACGGATGCCCCCCAGGTCCCCACGCAGTCCCTCCCGTTTACCTTTAGCTCCATTCATCCCATGCCACACTCCCGGAAGGCTCCCGACAAACAGGAAGCATTTCCGCAGCCAGCCTGCCACGCACTGATCCAGCGATGGACATGGCCTTCTGCAGCCTATGGTTCCCATCAGCCAGCCCAGGAAGTACTTGAAATCAGTATTCCAATTAGAGTCGGCTCTCTCGATTGTATTGTTTGCCAGTTAAATAACTGAGACGTAAATCTGGGAACAGAGCCACAAATCTGCCTTTGAGATGCTGGCTGATCTCAAGGCCGTCAGTGATCTAGGGGAGGGGGGGAGGGTCGGGAGAACCACCCCAATTAAGCGTGCAGCTGGCAGAGCGTCACTCCTGTCTGCCCCGCACAAGCCCTGCTCTGGCCACCTCTCCGCTGGAGAGGCCGCCCTGTGCTGGCCAAGCCTGTTTGCTGAGCCCCGGTGTCCTCTCCCAGTGGGCATTGTCTTTGGAAGCGGCCCTTGGTGGGAAGGAGTCGAAGATGAGGCCCCTTCCAGAACCTAGGGTAACAAGAGTGCTGCAGCTTGGAGAGTCGATTTAGGATTCCTCATCAGAGAGCAATGCAGCATCATTAAAATAAAAACTGTGCCTTTTAAAAAATGCAAATGTACAGCAAATCCCTAAACTTGAACCATTTCCTAGTGCCTTGCTAGACAGACATAAGGGGTAGGGATTGGGGGGCGGGGGGGAGGGGATGGGGGGTTGGTGGTATGTGCAGATCCTATTGGATGAGTGTCTGTTCCATAATGTTGAATTCCAAGCAGGAGCGTTAGGCCTAGAGCAGGATCTGGGATGGAGATGCCCCCTGAGGGCAGAGGCCAGCAGTTGCTCCCGTTAATGTGACACTCCAGATTAAAGGAGCAGCTGGTCAGCTTGTGTAGTTAGTCTGTGGCCTAAAGGGGCCTCCGTGGCCCCTGGGACAGGCCCTGTTCAGAGGCCGTGTCTGCAGCCCCCGCCCCTCCGAGCCCCCGGACAGAGTGCAGAGCGCTGGCTGGGTTTCCAAATGGGCCCTCTCCAAGTGGATGCGCGTTCTCGGCATCACTGGGCCTCATGTGGAGAGCAGGAGCAGCCTTCCTCCCGCCCATCTGTTGGGTCTCCTTTTGAGTCTGGTTTCGCTCCCTCAACAAGGGATGGGCAGGTCCTCCGAGCACTCCGGCCTCCGTCATTGCTGAGCCCACATCTGTAGGCGCTGCTGGTTGGCAAGGTGTGCAACAGGGATGGCAGGAGACAGGGTCACTGCCTGGCTGGCCAGCTGGCTGATTGCCAACACTGGCCACTCGTTGTCTTGGCCTCATTTATTTTAGACTGGCTGTCTTCAGGATTTCACAGTCCTGCTCACACCCCCAGCTGATGCCCAAATCAAACAGCCTGGAGACTGTGCAAATGCAGGGGTGAGAACATGGGCCCCTTTTTTTTCTAAAGGCTTTATTTTGAGCATGAAATCACAAAACAAATGAGTGGCTAAAATGTATCATGACCATGTGGTCACCAGCAGCCCTTCCAAAGGGGACTCCAGAAACATTTCAAAATATAAGCGCATCTCGCTGTACGGACAGGGCTCTGGAGGTGGCCCAGTGTGCCAGCACCTGTGTGAAAAGCCATTGCCTCCGATTGGAGCTTGTTTCAGCTTTAAAAACAGTCCAGAAACTGCTCAGAGGCAGAGGGGGTACGTATGGGGGGAGAGAGAGTAACATTAGGTCCAGGAGAGAGAGCAGTTGCTTCAGATGGGGCCTCTGGATCCCCAAAGCCCATGTTAGAGGCGCTTTTCAGACCTCCTACCTGTTGGATTTCTTTTTGTGCATCTCCATTCCTCTGGTCTCTGGAGGATTAAACGAGCTGCAAAGCACTTTACAGCTGTAAGTGGGAGATCTGGAATCCTTGCTTCAACGACCCCCTGTTTGTGCAGATGGGTGATCTCGTATAATTCCTGGTAGACTATGCATTTTCAGTGTTTTCTGGAGATTTCTAAGTGTGGGAGAGGGGCAAGGAGTGTGGTTCTGTTCTGGGACTCTTTGCTTTCAGCTGATGGTCTTTGTGAAAAATCCTAGTCATATTTTAGTTCAACTTGATCTTGAGCCGAAGCCCACTGCCACCTCTGGGGTGGGTCTGGGGTCTACATTCCAAGTGACAAGGTCCGGTGCCTGACCATAGGGTCAGGCTCCTGTTCTATCTGGGCTAGAAAACTGGGGTCCCCAGGGGCTTAGTGATGATTCCCTAGAGAGAGCTCGAGACCACCGGCCTTTCTTCTCCTGCCTGGAAAAGCGCGCCTTTGTGAAGAACTGATTTCATGTACAGTTGTGATTGTGACTGAGTAAAAGTCCAGACTTTCTCTAACGTGGTCTCTGGTTCATTCCTTGTCACGCGCCACTCCCCGTTCCACCTTTCCTCACCTGCTCGGTACCTGGCCCTCTGTTGGTGGCACTGAGCAAACTCCCAAGACCTAATGCAACTGACCAAGATGATTTCAGATGTGAGTAGGGCGAGGGAAGGACATAAAACCAGATAGTTTTGAGGCTGGAGTGCCGTGCTTATTCAGAAACAGATTTAGAGAACTTGGCAGTTTGCTCAGCATTGGGAAGGATGGCCAGGGAATGCCTGTCTGAAAGAGCTGGAAAACATGAGGGAGTGTGAGCCAAGAGGCAATGTGGGGAGAGAGTTCTAGGCAGAGGGAAGAGCCAGTGCAAAGGCCCTGAGGCACAGAGGAGGTGAGCTCACAGCAGTAAGCAGGGTGGCCCTCGACAGACTACACCCAGGAGTGGAGGATTTCAGGAGGACAGCGACAACATGACATAGCTTAGCTCCTTTCTGATGCTCACCCATCAGCCAAAGCCTCTACTTACCAAAGCATGTTGATACTTTGAAGTATGAGATTTGTGTGATACCCTGTGGTGGGAAGAGTGCTGGCTGGCCCGGCTCTGCCGCAGGCTTGCTGAGATCTGGTGTGAGTCCAACCCACTGTCTGGCCTCAGTTTTCCTCAGTAAAAACGAGACATTTCCAGATCCAGCCTCACTGATGTTCCTGTGTTTTGAGTCTTGACATGGAGCTGCAGGGGACCATGAGCAGTGCTGCCCGCTGTGCTGTCACACAGGGTCCACCAGAGGGCGCTGCGGAACACAGCTTGGAGAAGGCTGACAGCAGGAAAGGGGGAGTGTTCACTGGCCACCGTGGCGGGTTTAAGCCCGGAGAGGGTGGATATTTCCTTTTGCAGCTTCCATTGTTTTTTGAAAAGTCTTTTACCACCCGGGATCATGACAATTTTCTTCTAAATATTGTAATGGGTTTCTTTAAAGAGCTTAAACGCTTCCTAGGAATAAAAAGGAGGAGAGGGAAGGCATTCCAGGTGTTGGGGGGCAACAGGTGTGAAGTTGCTGTGGAGGGAGGTGACAGATATGCAGGTTAGTGGGGCTGGAGCTGAGTGGAGAGAAAGCGAAGAGGCAGGAGGGGCCATGTGATGGAGTCTGGTCTTTATTTTAAAAGCAGAGGAACCATGAGAGGTTTTAACCTGGGCAGAGTGAGGGCATCAGATGTGGCCTTGGCTGACGCTGGAGCCAGAGGGACTTGCTCAGGGAGCTGGGCACACAGTAGGCCTAAGGGTGAGAAACAAATCCAAGCAGCTGGGCCTGGGTGCCTTCTCAGTCACCAGCGCTGGGGTGGGTGAGAACAGAGAGGGCATTTCTCATCCTCCCAAGCCCTCAGTGAGGAGAAGCCAGGTACCCAAGGGGCCTGGCTGCAGAGTGGGAGCTCCGGGTCCTCGTTCAGAAACAGCTTTAGAGAACTTTGCAGTTCCTCAAAGCTTTGAATCTTCTTTTTCTCTCTATTCCGTTGAGACGGGGGCTTTGAGGGTTCCTAGTAGGAGCCCAATGAGTATTGGATGGACAAATACAGTTTGAGTAACGTAGTTTCGGATTACACTTTGGGCCTCCCCTCCCTCCCCTCCCAACCCACAGACCTGACAGAGTGCTCCCACGTTTGTTACACGCATTGCACCCTTCCTCTCCCTGGGCCTCCAGATCTTCCTACACACTGGGGGAAGGGGAGCAAATTAATAGATCCTGGGCAGCCTGGACTCATAGTTCTGAATCTTGCATTTAGGAGTTTGTGATGGCCCCGGTCATAAGGATTCATTTTCCAAGCTCAGCAACACGGATGGGAATGGGACCCCCTTCCGGTTCTGCTGGTGTCTCCTACCCCAGAGCTCCTGGACTTTTGCTAAAGTGGGTCCAGGGTTCAGTATCCAGAGCGTCCTTTCTGCAGCTGCTCACAGCTCTGCCAGCCTCTGGCCTCAGGCAGCTGCCTCCTCTTGTTCCCCCTCAAGGCCTGGGCCGCCTGGCTTAGCCATACCTGGGTGCCAAGACCTGCAGTTCTTGCCCTCACGTCTGGCTTGATTGAGGGCTGGCCGGGCGGTGGCCTGTGGTGCACTCACATGCTCACACAGATACACACACACACACACACACACACACACACACACTGCCAGAGAAACAAAGGACCGGTCCGTGAACCCTTAGGAAGCAGGTTTCTTAGTAACTTTACAGCTTTTGTTCATGAGCTACTTTGACTTGAAGTAGCGTCTGATCTCCTGCCAGCTGCTGTCTGGGGATGGGGGGGAAGGGGCGGCGATACGCCTTTGCTGGAGCTGAGAGCTGAGCGCCTCACCATTACTCTATTTACTGTACATCATTAATTCGTTAACATTGAACTCAGGGCCAACAGCACTGCAACTGGTGACTCAGTGAAACTAACACATCTTCGTGCCTATGAACACGAGACAGCACCTCAGTGCTGCGCTTGAGGGGCATTTGAAGCCGCAATCACCAAAGGAAAGGTGGTACAAAAATATGAAAAACGTGCCACTGAACAGACCACAACGAGGACACTTATTTGCAGCGTGAGGGCTGCATCGACCTCGGCTGGGAGCATGTGTGTTGGAAGACTCAACTATTCTGCCGCTCTGCCCGTGCACATGTCTGTAAGTGACCTCCGAGGAGCCACCAGTACTCATTGTGAGGTTGCAAATACATTTCAGTGAGTAGGACAGTCACAAATACAAAATCGGCGAAAAACGAGAATCTTTTCTTTTACTCATTCGTTTTTTAATGTCTTTCTCCTCCACTTAATTTCTGAGGGCAGGCCTCTTTCTGTACCTGCGTCCACCATCTTACCCCCGGTTCTTATCAGAACTGGCTTGGACCTCAGACATGGTTGAGTTTCTGATCAATCAACCATCTACCTCTGGAATTTTAGTTTTGCAAAATTTATTAACAATCCTTATTATGTATGTTATCACTAGCTACATATTTAATTGAGGCCAAAAGAAAACATCTTTTCAGGACTGACTTTTCCTAACTCGCAGGGCCTGGGCTTGGCAACTCGCAAAAGACCGACAGAGAAAGGAAAAGTTCATTTCTTCATGGGCATTAGCATTGTCCAGTGACCCAAGTAATTACGTACAGTCTCCTACTTACTGTCGGTTGAATTATAATTGAGACATTTGCTTAGTGCTCTGCCGTTAAAGAAGTGGAGAGGGCTAAGGGCTGTTTTTTGCATTCCCGTGACGCCCCTACTTCCATACATAATTGGTTTCTTGAAAATGTGACTAATGCCAAAAGTACAAAAGTCAAACAACAAATTGATTCTGTCAGCAGGGCACATCTGTTCCTAGGGAATAAGAAATGGTATAACATTTCCAATTACAACTGCATTTGTGGACATAATCTTCGATGATATATTTCCTGCCTTTCCTGCTATATCTTCAATTTGATTATTTTCCTTCACTAATAAAAAAAAAAACAAAAAACAGGCTTAAGAACATCAAGTGGAGGCTAAAGATGCATCCCTTTCAACAAATCTAATGCTTTCTTTTTATGTCAATTAGAGTTAATGATACACATACTCCTTTTTTTGAGATATAATTCACCCATGTAAAGTGTATAGTGTTCTTAGTATATTCACAAGGTTGTACAACCATCACCCCTTCCTAATTCAAGAACATTTTAGTTGCTCCCAAAAAGAAACCCTAGCCATTAGCAATCCCTCCCTACCCCAAACTACACACTACCACCACTCCCACCCCAACACCTAAGCCTCAGCCACTGGTAACTGCTAATCTGTTCTCTCTGGATTTGCCTTTGCTGGACATTTCACATAAATGGAATCACAACATGTGGTCTTTGTGTCTGGCTTCCACTTAGCATATTTTCAATATTCATCCATATTGCTGCATATATCAGTACTTCGTTCCTTTCTATTGAAGAACACTATCCCATTGTCTAAATAGACCACATTTCGCTTATCCAGTTAGCATTTGATGGATATTTGGGTTATTTCCACCTTTTGGCTATGATGCATAATGCTACTACTATGAACATTCTTGTGCAAGTTTTTGTGTGGATGGATGTCTTCATTTCTCTTGGATAGAAGACAAGAGTGGAATTGCTAGGTTATATGACAACTCTACGTACCACATTTTGAGGAACTGTTAAACTGCTTTTTCCAAAGTGGCTACGCCATTTTTTTATTCCTACCAGCTCAATGCAGGCTTCATTTTTTTTTTTTCTACATATCCTCACCAATACTTGCTATTCTCTATCTTATCGATTATAGCTAGCCTAGTAGGTATGATGTAATTTCTCATTGTGGTTTTGATTTGTATTTCCCTAATGACTAGTGATGTTGAGTATCTTTTCATGTGCATATTAGCCATTTGTATATCTTCTTTGAAGAAGTGTTCATCATACCCTTTGCCCATTTTTTAATTGGCCAATTTTTTATTATTGAATTATAAGGGTTTATTATGTATTCTGAATACAAGTCCTTTGTCAGACATGATTTGCAAACATTTTCTTCCATTCTGTGGTTTCACCTTCTTGATAGTCACATGCTTCTGATCACAACTATTGGTACTTTCATTTATTTTTCATTCATACAACTTTATATGATGCAATAAAGCAATCAATTACTTTTCCTGATCTTTGCTGTGCAGATGGATATGGAGAATTCCTATGTGGAAACTGAAAAATTGGCAGAACTACCCAACCATCTTGCAATATGATATCTTCTTTGCTAACATGCAGAAACCTAAACTTGGGTACAATGGCAAGTGTTAGGTGTCAGCATGTAATGGATGAAATAACTACTATTTATTAAACATTCACTATGTGTAAGACACTGTGCTAAGTGCTTTGCAAGATCATACTTGATCCTCACAATAGCCCTTTGAGAGAAGCACTATTATCATCCCATTTTGCAGATAAAGAAAACCGAGGCTCATGTCGTTTTTAAAAGTTGCCGATGGCCCCACAGCTAGGAAAATGGCAGAGCTTAGATTCAAACC